TTTTATTTAGGAAGAAAAAAGAGAAAATTTACAGCACTTCCAAAGAGAGAAGGAGAAAAGGTGAGAGAGATCGGCTCAGGGTCTTTCATTAAGTTTTAGACAAGATGAAATAATCTGAAGGCTTGACTAGGACTGATGAGTGCTGTACTGAGATGATTCACTTACATAGCTGTTGGCGGGAAGCCCCAGACTCTTCTCACACAGATCTCTCTTTCCTGCTTTTTGAGACCGGATCTGTCTATATTACTCAGACTAGTCATGAACTCCTGAGTTCGAGTGATCCTCACACCTCATTCTCCTGTGTAGCTGGGACTGTGCCCAGCTACCATATATTTTTTGTTTGTTTTGCTTTGAACATTTGCTCAATCAGTAGAAAAGACAAATTAGGAAGTGTTGAGTCAGATATTTCTAGAAACCAAGATAGTTCCAGGCTGCATATCAGGCATCCTAAATGCCTATAAGCTGGTACCAATTTACTTAGTATCTGTGGGTGAAGTTTCATTTGTCTAAGAATTTTGAATCCCCAGTGTGTGTTGCAGTGGTTATTACAGTGGCTAAACTGACATCGTGCTAATTGCCAAAGATTTGGAGTTCTTCCATATTTGCAGGTTGTTGCATTTATTATCAATTTATTAAATTGCTAAATGCGTCAGACTAATAACAGGAAATACATTGAAATGGAAAACTTTAAATAATACCCCTGAGTATTCCTTGACGGCAAGTCATGAGATGATCACTTCAAAATCCTATGTCAATTGATAAAAATCCCAAAGCTTTCAAGCCTGAAATTTATCTTGTGCAGAATCCTGTGCCCTATAATTTCATACCCTACACTTCTGTTATCCAATATAAGAGGAGAATCAAATCATTAGAGGAGGTATGGAGTAGATGGTAAGCTGGGAAATTTAAACAGTGAGGTAAGTAGTTTTTATCTATAAACAGATGTCACCAATTATACATGAAGACTATTGCTTTGAATTTTTTTTTTTTGTTTTTTGACCCAGAGTCTCTGTTGCCTCTGGCTAGAGTGCCATGGTGTCAGCCTAGCTCACAGCAACCTTAAACATCTGGGTTTAGGTGATCCTCCTGCCTCAGCCTCCTGCATAGCTGGGACTACAGGCACCTGCCACAATACCTGACTAATTGTATTTTTAGTAGAGATGGGGTGTGTGTGTGTGTGTGTGTCTCACTCTTGCTCAGGCTTGTCTCAAACTCATGAGCTCAAGCCATCAGTCTGCCTTGGCCTCCCAGAGTGCTAGGATTACCGGCATGAGACACTATTGGCAAGCCTGCTTCCAACTTTAAAAGAGAGCCAAAGATTAGTAGAACCAATGGGTTGACTGATTTGATTGATAACACTGAGTTTAGCTCTCCCTGCCTCACCTTTATAAAGTGTTAATTATTGTTACTTATTCAAGGTGGGTGTTAAGGGAGGAAGAGAGGAGATAACAGGCTCTTCAAGGGAAGTTTATCTCCAAGTGTGAAAATGAAAGGTAGTCTCCCCATGTACACCTAAACTTTACCACATTCTCATCTTTAAGATCTGCAAAGAAGGTAATTGTATTCCCTCCAGAGAAACAGAGTCAACAGGTTTATATATACGTAAGATACAAGGTTAAACATATATATCATGTAGTGGTATCTCAATGCATGTGGAAGATTGGTTACAGGACCCCAGCATATAACCAAATCTGCACATACCAAAGTCCCGCAGTTAGCCTTGCAGAGCTTGTCTATGTGAAAATTGGCCCTCCATATACATGGCTTTCAAATCTTAGGAATGCTGTATTTTTGTTCTGCACTTATTTTGAAAATACTCCATATTTAAGTGGACCCATGCAGTTCAAACCTGTATTGTTCAAGGATCAATTGTATATACAGTATGTATAAGTGTGTGTATGTGTATATATGTGTATATATCTATATATGGGGGGAGAGAGAGAGAGAGAGAGAGAGAGAGAGAGAGATTTATTTGATTTAAGGAACTGGCTCATGAAATTATGAGACTGTGGTTTGGAAGGTCTGAAGTCTGTATGGCAAGCTAGCAGATTGGAAAGTCTAGAAGGAGTCAGTGTTACAGTCTTGAGTCTGAAGGCAGTCTGGAAATAGATTTTTTTTTTTTTTTTTTTTTTGCAACAGAGTTGCAAAGTGTGAAGACACTTTGGTGGGCAAAGGATTAGGCAATTGGGTCATACTCTTGTGTTGCTTGGTGGGCTTTTGGGTCTGCAGATGTGTGCTTATATGTGCACGTACTGAGCAAGACTATCTCAACCACTTCTCTGATATGTTGCTTAAGTGTGTGTTGAAAAGTTTAATAGCAGGCATTTTAACTTTTGTGAGTTACTTTAGCCTCTCTTCTGCAGGAGGAGTCAGCTTACTTTTTCATTGTGTTGCTCTCTACAAAGGCACCTACATACACAGACACCTACACAGACACACAAACACCTAACACAAATATACACACCCTCCAGGATTCTTCAAGATATCTGGGATTATGACTTGTCACCTTTATGCTTTGCCACAGCATTTGTTTCTTTTTCCTAGAAAAAATGTCATAGGATTATGGAGTTTCGGGGTTGGAAGGAGATCAAGGCCATCACTTCCTTATGCTTCTTTGTATTGGAATCCCTAGCAGAGTGCTTAGAATATAGCAGCTCCTTGCAAATGTTTAGGGGATGAATGTTGTTGAATACAGTACAACCTTCCAAAGAAAGATGAAATAATTTTTACTGGCTGATGATCATGTAGTCTTTGCTTGTTTCTCTGACCAATGGAAGTCCTCAACTATCATCAAAGAAGGTCTGTGCTCTGGCAGTCGGCTTGCATATTAGATTTGGGCTGTTCTGGATAATACATGGAAGACTATAATTGAGGCATGGTAGCTCTGCTTCTCTTGGCTCTCCTACCAAAAGGGTCACTTTCTGGGACACAATGTTCCATGACTACGTGTCTGTAATATTATTAGTAACATATGGAGATGTGATGTTGAATGCTTTCTCTGTATGCAGAGGCAAGGACATCATTTGGTTTTTACCCCAAACAACTTTCACCTCTGAAACTTTAGTTTCCTTCCTTAGAGTTTTTTCCCCCTGTTTTGCAACTTACACTGTGAAGAATCAAATCTATAAAAAAGAAACTGAATTCAATATGTTGTAAAGAATAAAACTTTTTTAAAACCCTAAGTTTAATATACTAAGAGATTTAGGAATTAATCTAACTCAGCTCTCTGCAGCTAATAGTTAAGTAATGGAAAGACCAAGGGGCAGGAGAACTGGGACAGAGTCCAATCCTGCCATGCAAAGGCTGGGCAAGTCATAGAACATTTCTGGACTTTAACTGCATTCTATTTTATTTGGGATATCAACCTGCCAAAATTTAGAGTATGTTTGTATGAGCATTTACCTTGTCTGTTTTTTAGGATTTAAGCCCCTGGCATTCCACTGATGTAGGCAGGTCTCTGATACCAGATCCATCTATGCAAGATCTTGGCAGCTCAGAATTTTGAAAATTCATTTGAGGCTAAAAGAATAATGATCTACTATAATGGAAAATCAGGTTCCTCTTGGCAAAAATACCTTCTCTACGTTTGTCTTTGCCAACAGTCGAAACTTGTCCTGAAAGAGAGTTTAGGTGGAAATAGAAGAGGCAGAGAAAGGTAGGGTTTGGGTATCTCTGAGGAAATAGCAAAGATTCCCCAGGCTGAAATGGGGGAATGAGGAAGTAATGGATTTTATAACTATCTCCTAGGGGTCAAATCATATCAAACAATTTAAAGAATTAAGTTTCTTAAGTAACTTATTAGCTCCAGTGTGAAGGAAGGATTGGATTTGTTTTCAGGCTACTTAAGAAGTTCAATTAAAAAAATATACATATATATCTATGGTGTACAAGGCATCTGCTGAGTGCTGCAAGAGATAATTCGTGTGCGGTTATTACTTTTTAACAAAATTTTAGTTTAATGGGGAGCAAAAAGAAATATCTTACTTTCTTTTATAGTTAAAGATCATAAAAGATGGTGTTAGGAAAATTTCCTTTTCTTTTTCTGAGACAGAGTCTCCCTCTATCATGTCACCCTGGCTAGATTACAGTGGCATTTGTCATAGCTCACGTGATCCTCCTGCTTCAGCCTCCCTCTGGAGCAACAGGGACTGTAGGTATGAACCACCATGACCACACCCAGCCAATTTTTCTATTTTTTTCTAGTGATAGCTTTTCTCTCTTGTTCAGGCTGGTCTCAAACTCTTTTTGAGCTCAAGTAATTCTCCTGCCTCTGTCAACCAGAGTGTTAGGATTACAGGTGTGAGCTACCATGCTCAGCCAATTGCACAGAGAAAGTAAATGATAAATAATATTTTCAGAGTCAAAATGAAGTAAGTTGGACACATTTGATTAGAGAAGCTGTTTTATGAGCAGAAGGAAAAGAATAAATAAACACAAAGATTTTGGACAATAAGTGGAAGTAATACGCCTGGAGGATAGTGACTTGCTTGGCTGGTGAGATGAATACACAGGAGGAAAATGAAAGGACACTAGGCTGGAAAAATAAGCATGTATCAGATTGTTGCAGGTTTTGAATGTGCATTTACTTTGATAGGAGAAGTCAAATATTGAATGATTTTAGCTGGAAGTTGTGGGTTTTAGAATATTAATTTGATATTATCAGTGGATTAGTTGAAAGAGCCAACTAATAATGGGTAAGTGTTTTGGGCAATTTATTTGTGCTCATCAAGGCTCACTGATCTCACACAAAAGACCAAAACAATGATGCCTATGCCTTAGTGTGGTTGTGGTTAAGCAGAATGCTGTACATGAAGTGTCTGGCATGGCTCCTAATACGCAATGTTAACAATTATTATTTAACTGGTTTATAATTTATATTCTCTGACAGTAAGTAAGCAATTCAGATAGAAATATAAAATTATTTCAGTTGGTTTCATTCCTATAATATTAAAGGTGAATTGGCTTTCATTTTCCCTGAAGCTTCCCCCAAAGGTGACGGCATGGGCACTTTCAACCGAACAAGAGTGACTGAATTTATCTTCTTGGGACTCACTAATAACTGGATGTTGGAGATACTGTTTTTCAATGCATTCTCAGTGACTTATGTGCTAATCCTTTTGGGGAATATGCTCATTGTCATTACCATAATCTTTACTCCACGTCTCCATACCCCCATGTATTTCTTCCTGAGCAATCTGTCCTTTATTGACATCTGCCATTCATCTGTCACTGTGCCCAAGATGCTGAAGGATTTGCTTTCAGAGAGAAAGACCATTCCCTTTGACAACTGCATTGCACAGCTCTTCTTCCTACATCTTTTCGCCTGTGCTGAGATCTTTCTGTTGACTATCATGGCTTATGATCGATATGCAGCTATCTGTACTCCATTACACTACCCCAATGTGATGAACATGAGAGTCTGCCTAGAGCTTGTCTTTGCTTTTTGGATCGGGGCTACTGTTCACTCACTAGTGCAGACCTTCTTGACCATTCGTTTACCTTATTGTGGCCCCAACATTATTAATAGCTACTTCTGTGATGTGCCTCCTGTCATCAAGCTGGCCTGCACGGATACGTACCTCACGGGAGTGCTGATTGTGTCCAATAGTGGAACCATCTCCCTCACTTGTTTCTTGGCTTTGGTTACCTCCTATATGGTTATCCTGGTTTCTCTTCGAAAAAAGTCAGCTAAAGGGCGCCGGAAAGCCCTGTCTACTTGCTCTGCCCACTTCATGGTGGTTGCTCTCTTCTTTGGGCCATGTATCTTCATCTACACTCGGCCAGACACCAGCTTCTCCATGGACAAGGTGATCTCTGTCTTCTACACAGTGGTTACCCCTTTGCTAAATCCCCTCATTTACACCTTAAGGAATGAGGAGGTAAAAAGTGCCATGAAGCAGCTCAGGCAGAGACAAGTATTTTTCATGAAATCTTATACATGATAGGAACTGGGATTGCAGATATAACTGTGGCCACATTCTTAGAGAGAGAGCAAAAAGGAAGTCAAAATCGTTCTGTAAAATGGCCTGAAGCAGGTTAGACTTCAGCTTAGAGACAGGGAATTATTAAGAATTAAGGAAAAGATTATTGTAGAACCTGGAAGGAAAAAGAACCCAGGAATGTTTGAAGAAGGCTTCTGTTCGACCAGTAAAATATTACAATTTGGGGAACTCAGCGCAGTCTCAGTTGCAGGAATGGGCACCCCTGTGAGCAGCTATGCTTTTGATTCATGCTGTTTTGTGGGTTATTGCCATCAGGGAGCAATACTTGCGTTTTATAAATTGTAATGGTTTTGGTTTTACTTTCAAAAATATTTTTAAATTGTATTACTAAGCCTTTACTTATTTATATTGAGTTAAAATTTGTTGCTTTTGAATATGATTCTCTTATTATCATATGTGTTTTTTGTAGTACTTTTGACAAAATCAAGGTGGCTATGTATAAATAATTAAAAAAATACTGGGACTGCATCTACAGTGCATCTTACAAGAGTACATGTTAAATTTACTCAGTGTAAAATATAAATGTCTTAACATGTAACTAAGAAAATATGGTGAAGTCTATGTTAACCAGATGAAAATATTTCAAATTGTATCTAAAACCAGCACATTGTACCCCACGATTGCATTAATGCATATAGCTATGACTTAATAAAAAAATACTTTATAGGCTTGGCACCCATAACATAGTGGTTAAGGTGCTAGCCACATACACCCAGGCTGACAGGTTTGAACCCAGCCTGGGTCAGCTAAACAACAATGACGACTGCAACAAAAAGATGGCCAGGTGTTGTGGCAGGGACCTGTGGTCCTGGTTACTTGGGAGACTGAGGCAGGAGAGTCGCTTAAGCCCAAGAGTTTCAGGTTGCTGTGAGCTGTGACGTCATAACACTCTACCAAGGGGACCATGGTGAGACTCTGTCACTCCCCCCAAAAAATAAATAAAAATACTTTATAAACAAATTATTTTAAAAATTAACTTTATTAAGGTAAAATTAATAAAATATGTATTATTACAGATGAAAATGACTAACATTGCTGAGAAAAATTAAATTAAAGAAGACCTAAATAAAGAAATATTCCATTCCATAGATGGGAGGTTGAATATGTCTAAGATGTTCATTAGATTGATCTACAGAGTCAATTCAATCCCAATGTAAGTTTCAGCATTTTCCTTTGTAAAAGTAGACATGTTTTTTCTAAAATGTATGTGAAAATGCAAAGGATCTGAGATAGCAAAACAATTTTGAAAAAGAACCTTAAGGGCTCATACTACACAATTTCAATATGTACTATGAAGCTAAAATAACCAAGATATATAATATTAATCAATGGAACAAAATTAAGAATCCAAAGAATAAATTCAGATGTAAAGCATCCATTATTTTAAACATACATGCCAAGATAATTCAATGGGGAAAGAATAATCTTTTCAAATGGTACTTGATCTACCAGATAGATAAAATAATAAATCTCAACCTTTATCCCACACCATATGAAATATATAAAGTAAACTCAAAATTATCATAGGCATAGGCACAGTGGTTCAGGCTTGTAATTTCAGCACTATGGGACACTGAGACAAGAGGATCCCTTGAAGACAGGAGTTCAAGGCCAGCCTGAGCAACATAGCAAGATTCCATTTTTACAGGAAAAAAAAAAAGAATTAAAATAAATAATTAGGGTGGCACCTGTAGCTTAGTGGGTAGAGCACCAGCCACATACACCAAGGGTGGTGGGTTTGATCCTGGCCCGGGCCAACTAAAACAACAATGACAACTGCAACAACAACAACAACAAAAAAGCCAGGCATTGTGGTGGGCGCCCATAGTCCTAGCTACTTGGGAGGCAAGGCAAGAAAATCGCTTAAACCCAAGAGTTTGAGGTTGCTGTGAGCTGTGATGCCACAGCACTCTACCCAGGGAGACAGCTTGAGACTGTCTCAAAAAAATAATTAATTAATTAGCTGGGCCTGGTGACATGCACCTCTAGTCTAAGGTGACCAGATGTCCCGCTTTTGGTGGGACAGTCCCAATTTTTAACAATTTGTCCTGTGTCCTGTGGCATTTTTAAAAAGTCCCAATTTTTGGAAAGAATGCCCAACAAGCTAGGGAACAGAGGGAGAACAGGAAGGGAATATATGGTTTTCGGCTGCCATGTGGCTATTTCACCAGGATATGAGTTTTATATTATTTTTGTTAATTTTAGAATGTTAAACTTTAATAATAACAAATAATCGTTGAGAACTGATTATCAAGAACTGCTTATCAAAGTTCGCACTGTTGATCAGTTGTTAGAATTCCACCACCATTGTTTGGACTTAATGAACAATGGCATTTTTTGGCATTGTCAATGAGAAAAACATTTTGTAACTGTCTCTCAGACCATACACACGTACTGCGTGCTAGTGCTAGTTAAACAAGTGATGTCAACAAATCAGCTATTCAGTTAACTTAGGTAAGTAATTTATTTATTTATTTCATGAATTTAGCAGACAATACCCATATTATTTATATTTTATAGTGGCGGCAAAAAGTCTAGCGCTGGCCTTGAAAGTGACACTTACGACTTACAAGGTATCATTATTAAATATACATATATTGATAAGGAAAAAAAATTAAATCTTTCTTATAGTTTTGAAAATGGGGAAGGCCAAGATCAAGATGCTGACAAGTTCAGTGTCCAGTACAGCTGCTCTCTCTGCTTCCAAGAGGGTAACTTGTTGCTGCATCTTCTCATGAGGAGGAAAACTGTGTCCTCATATGGTGGAAGAGACAGAAGGGCAAGAGGGGTAAACTCCCTCCACTAAGACCTTTTCTTAAGAAATACATTTCCATTACTTATAGTTTACCCAGTCTGTGGTATTTTGTTTTTTTTGAGACAGAGCCTCAAGCTGTCCCCCTGGGTAGAGTGCCGTGGCATTACAGCTCACAGCAACCTCCAACTCCTGGGCTCAAGCGAGTCTCCTGCCTCCGCCTCCCAAGTAGCTGGGACCACAGGTGCCCGCCACAACGCCCGGCTATTTTTTGGTTGCAGCCGTCATTGTTGTTTGGCGGGTCCAGGCTGGGGATTCGAACCCGCCACCTTAGGTGTACGTGACTGGTGCCTTAGCCGGTTGAGCTATAGGCGCCGAGCCTGTGGTATTTTGTTATAGCAGCACAAACATACTAACACATATGGCGAGTTATATTGATTGGCTTTCTAAAGTTAACCCACCCCTCTTTGTTGGAATAAACTTTACTTAGTTATAATGGACTGTCCTTTTCAAATATTGCTGAATTTAATTTGCTAGTATTTTGTTAAGCATATTTAAACCTATGTTCATGGGATTATTGATTTGATTTTTTTCTTGTATTTTTTATTGATATATCATAGTTGTACATAGTTTTGGGGTCCATGTGATATTTTGATACGTATATCAATGATTCTTGTAATGTCTTGTCTCAGTTTGGTATCAGTAATATTGGCTTCATAAAATGAGTTAGTAAATGTTTCTTCCTCGTGTGTTTTCAGAAAAAATTATATAATATTTTTATTATTCTTTTAACATTTGATGGAATGTGCTAGTGAAACTGGAGGTTTTCACTGGAGAGAGAGAAAAGGACTCAGACAGCAAAGTTATATAAGAAACTTGAGAGCCAATAGGTGTGGATTAATTATGAGTGAAGAATGAAATGAACAGAATATGATAAGGGATATATGCCTGGGAGGGGAAATGAAAATTGTAGCATGTTTTAATGACTAGATTGGAAACTTAAGATTTTATTTAATGGTAGTGAGAGGTGTATTCTTTTATCCATGATCTGTATAGAGCTGGGGGAATCCTTTTTTTTTGAATCTACATAAATGTTACAATGTATGACTCTTATAACTTTGTGCCTTAGATAGTAACGGGGACCCAAGGATGTTAGAGAATAAAGAAGGAACTGTGGGTACCTGAAATATCCTGCTAGTATAAAGCACTAGTGACTCATCTGGCCCCAGGCTGTGGAAAGCTGGCTGTGGATGGCAGCTTGGAAAATGCTTAGGGAGTGATCCCAGCCACTTCTCCTCCTCTAACAACATTCTTTCCACCTGTCAGAAGTCATGTAGCTCATGTGTCCTTGTTATCGGCAAGTACAGTTTTTCCTCTTTAAGGATGATCTCTACCCCATATGTTAAGATTTATGCAGCCTTGTTAAGACACTGTATAAATAAAGCTGTTTTAAGGGTTCAGGTGCTGGCTGAAGCTATCAGCTGCATCAGTCCTCCCGATGCCATCCTATCTCTTGTCTAGTGTGTGTTTTGTTCTGTGTTTGTCCTTCTTCCTTATTTCCCACTTCCATATTTCCCACTCAGGTCAACTCTCCCTCCTTGCACTGGGTCATGAGAGGTCCTTATCTTGTGCTGGTATATGACACCAGGCTGTGGTCATTATTTTCCTTTTGAGCTCCTGAGTCTGGCTATTATAGATTCCATGTCATTCTCACCATCTGCATCTTCTAACATTGATTTTTTATTTTTTTTGAGACAAAGTCTCAGTATGTCACCCTGGGTAGAGTGCCTTAGTGTTACAGCTCACAGGACTTCAAACTCTTGGGTTCTAGTCATCCTCTTGCTTCAGTCTCCCGAGTTACTGGGACTACAGACTCCAGCCACAATGCCTGGCTTATTTTTCTTATTTTTAGTAGAGACAGGGGTCTTGATCTTGCTCAGGTTGGTCTTGAACTCCTGAGCTTAAGCAGTCCACCCACCTTGGCCTCCCAGACTGTTAGGATTCCAAGTGTGAGTCACTGAGCCTGGCCACATTGATTCTTTTCATCCTGTAACACATAGTGGTCTAGAAGAGTGTCTCTCAAATATAGTGTGTATATAAACCACCAGAGGATCTTTTTACTGTGGAAATTTTGATAAAGTCTTGACTAGGGTGTGGTATTCTGTATTTCTTTTCTTTTCTTTTTTTT